ACTACACAGTAGTCATCAAAGCACTCCACCACCTCGCCAACCAGCCAGAAAAGATGGGTCGAGCAGGATACGAAACTACCTACGTCTGCAACGACAAGGACTCTGCGGCGGCAGACGCAATTGCCATGCACGAGGTCAAGAGGGCCGAGGCAGCCGTAAGTATCTCATCACCTCCTGACACTACCATGGCACTAACGTACAACAGAAGATCGCGGCCATCGAGGCTGCTGAGGCTGCAGAAGCCAAATTCATCAGGAGCAAGAAGTCTCGTGGAATCGTGGCCGCACGCAAGGCCGCCAAGGACAAAGCCACCTCGCAGGCGGGTGCCTACGAGTCGGAGGGCGACTCAGACAAGACCACAAAGCCCTGACGACCGCGCACCACCAAGACACCTGCGGACGACCGTCTCTCCTCCGCTCATGGTACCCGTCTGGCGACAGTATAAAAGTTGGAACCTGATATTGAAAGAACGATACCCAAGCTTGATCAAAGCTGGTGGCATCTGTCTGGCGGCATATCACATTCGAAACTTGATTTCTGGAGTAAGGAATGGCATTGCATTAAGATACCCAAGTCTAGTTTAGCACAATGAAAAGTCATGAATTCGTTACAGTCTACCTCATCGCTCCACTCTAGTCTAGTAGTCTCCTCTCAACTATGCTCTGCCTCTTCGCCTTGACCGCAGCAGCTCCCTTGATTGCTGTCCTTGTGGCGTCGAAGAACTTGTTCGCCATCTTCTGTACACCCGTCTGCAAGTTGGGGTGTTCACCGTCATCTGTGTCCTTGACTGCGTCGAAGTCGGCGAAGTTGTCCACAAAGTAGACCGGGCTCTTCACATTGCTCTTCTTAGGCATATGCGTAGCCATGTAAGCGTTGAGGTCTTTGATGCCTTGAACGGCCTGGGCATTGAAGCGCGCGGGGTCCAATGGAAGGAGGTTAGAGACGACGATCTGCATGTTGGGATTCTTCTTCCGCATTTGTGCGATAAGAATGTCGTACGAGGCGATGATGTCGTTGATAGGCCTCTTGCCAATGAGGACATCGTTCGTACCGAGGAGCATGAGAACAACATCCGGAGGGTTCTTGTCGAGCCAGCCAGGCAGTTGGCTGTTCTTGACGATGTCGGCGGCTTGGAATCCGGGGTGACCTTCGTGATCCTGGTCGATGTTGGTCCCACTGCAGGTGCTCTTTTGGCCACCGACAAAGTCAAAGTTCGTCACACCTGCATCCCTAAGCTTGGTTTGGAGGTTGGCGCGCCAGCATCGCTTGAATGGGAGTCAGTGGGTGGAAATTTGAAGTGAGGAAGGTGGGATACGTACCGAGACAATGGAAGCACCAAATGGCATGACCTTGACTGTCTTTTGAGCGCAGACTTCGCTGGCAAGGGTGAGGAGCCCGAGGGCGAGGGCGGAGATCTTGACCATCTTGTATATGGATAAAGTATAGAAGTGGTGAAGATTGTTTCGTAGTTGTCTGAGTAGTTGAACGGTAATCAAGAACTCGAGAAGAGGAAGGCCGTGGTACTATGTATTAATAGCAGCGCGCAGTCAAGCCGTCGGTTGTGGAATCCGTGCGCGTGGGAAGCCCCTCGTGCGTTGTGCCGTTTGTTATCGCGATGCCCGGTAAGGTCCAAAGCGTAAGGCGGCAGGAGCTTTGCGTGACCCGTGAAATGAGGCCAATGTATTTAGCAATCACCGAGTTCAAAGGGCCGTTATGATAGATTCCGCGAACGTGTAGATATTTATTCCGAAAAAGTATAGTGAGCCAGGGGGCGAAGCAATATAAGTTATGGATAGTTCGTAGCAGTAGTAGCAAAGTAAACCTTGAATGTTGCTTGCTTGTGATATCAACATCCAGGGATGTGAACCGGCACCTTATATCTAATTCCCAGACACAGTACGGTGCACGCTAGACGTGATCAGACGACGACGGCGGAGTAGACTGGCCGCTGTTTCCAGGCCTTAGCTCCACCCACCCCGCCCTTGCTCGTCGTCGCCTAAAGTCAAGAAACAAAAGGCCGGGTGCGGCGTACATGTGCTGGTCGCCGTGGAAGGAGGAAGCGGCTGTGCCTGGCTCAGGAAGGCTGGCTGTACCACCCCTGTCAAGACCGTATCGGGAATAGATGACGCTAGAGTAGTCAGAACGCTTGGTCGGTTTGGGGAGACGGGAGACTAGATTGTAGGTCCAGATTACACTGTGCCGCTCGGGGGGCTTTGCGTTGTTGGTGATGCGGTGAACGGTATGCGTCTCCCCATGCTATACGCTCAGTATCGAAGGACGTGAAGCCAGTCATAAACAACAACAACAAAGACAACATGCCGCAGTCGCCCACGCCACAGCCAGTAGCAAGACTCGGTCGCAACAACTTTCGCGAGGTCTTCCAAATTGAGCCTACAGGGTCTCAGAGGTCTAGCCTCTGCCGTCATAGAACCCTGCCGCGCGTGGAGCTTCCTAGCAATCTAACCATACGAGAAAGCTTGTCGGCAGATGAGCTTAAGATAGCTGCAGGGACCCTAAGCGTGCGAAAAAAACGGAGCACGAGCGCAACACTTCGCGAAGATGTGTTCAAGGGTATGGTAGAAGGAATTCCTCCCATTGGTCTTTGCGACGTTGCGCCGCTACCACTTTGCTGAAAACAAAAGAGCAAGGGTGGATTTGGAACACTTCTGCGGTCGACAGGAAACGTGCGTGACACTGTCCGTGACAGAACGGCCGCTCCGCGATGCGATGGCGGGGGTGGAAACCTACAATGACAGCTGATGACGGACTAGATTCCTCGAGACCGAATTCTCGAGGCAGGATTGCATCCAAGCGCCATCGTATTGAAGCAAGCTACTCACGTTCTCGACGTCGCGCTGCAGGACAATGTGTCTCACGAGACTGTCGTACCATCAAGTTGGGAGCCATGTCGCAGATAACTCCGCGGGAAAGGGCACTTGAATGTCCGGCCAGCATCATCGGCGGCGTACGGCATCGTGGTGTTGGTCGGTCCTTGGTCGAAGGAGAGGATGTGGTGTGTCTGACCGGGACAAGATCAACTTCCGTGGCTTACGCCCTCTCGCTAAACCACCGGCTCAAGTGCTGCAACATGTCCCCTATACCTGAACGGGACGCAAGCCATCTCCACGTGCTACGACCTGCAGGTTCGCGCAGAGGGGCAAAAGGCCGCATTATCGGCGTTGGACAGAAGATTGCACTGTCAGCACTATGCCTGCACGCATCGTGGTGTGGTAGCTCGAGTGCTCCCGAGGTTGATCTTTCACGAACCTGCAGCAATCAGCATCATGCTCGCTATCTAGCTTCGCCCTCCTCCGCAGCTCCGCCTCTGCGCTCGAACAACAACACCAACACCAACACCAAGATCGTCTTCAGCCAGCCTTACGCTTGGATCGCAGCGTTGATCGCATCCAGAACAGCGCTAGGCGGCCGCTCCGCTGGCGATAGCGCGCTGTCGCTTAAACCTGGTGACCTGGCGTCTGGGCTCGCCCGGACGATCAATTATAGATTCTGCGCTTCGCTTTCGTATACAAGCCTAGAGTTTGGTTATATATCGGCGCATTGCAGTTCTGAGATGGATTCTACAAGTCTCGTGGGCAGGGCAGTGTATGCAGGGACTCTGAAGTGCGTCCATACTACTGCAATGATGCACCGGCATCGAGCTTGAACACTTGCATGTGCACAGGGTACGTGCTGGCGGGCCATAGCCGAGCGGGATCGAGGGTCAAATCGCGAATCGAAGCCGACTGAGCAGAAGATCTTCAGTGTAGAAAACGTCATTGGTGATTAAGGTTTGGTAGTCTACATCCACTGAAGAACTTACATTGAACATCGTCGATGTTCAGCGGGCGAAAGTAAGTTCAGGTAAACCATCTTCTTCTAATCATCAGCATATCAGCATTACAAGCATAGCCAGGCCGCGGGGCTTGCGACCGCAAGGCGACCCATGGTCCGGCCGCAATCCTACACAGTACAACTTAGGCTATCTATGCAGTCCTTGAAATCTAACACGACTGCGCCTCAACGGCTGGCTCAAGGCATCCATCACAGCCTATATTTCTTGTGAGCACAGGCCGAGAGCAGGAGTAATACCATGCGTTGTTTTCGGGGAGATTGCAACCATCTACCAATGACGTTCTGTCACGGAGTGATCAACGTATGGCTGAAACAGCCCAATCTTGTTGCTCCCACTCCAACATAATAGACTGCCCTCTAAGATCGTCACGAAGAAACACATCATTCACAGCGCGCTACCGCTCTGCTATGACGACACAACAAGAGGAAGCAAGTTTGTAGATGTAGCAGATTCGTACGGCATAGCGATGCCAAATATGAAGCGTCTACGTTTCAGTCGTCGCTACAAAGTTTGGCTTAGAAGGAGACTCGGGGCGTGGGTTTTGTGAAATAGAGGGGAAGAAACGTATCGGATGTCTCGGCCGGCGACCTGTTTCGTTATGAAGGACTATGGCAGGTATGACGGGAGTGTTTACAATATTGGGCCTTGGTTCTATCGGCGACCGCACAAGTATCCATCAATTATACTCGGCAAAGTTTGTGCTGTGAAAGACTAAAAGACTTTTTTGCACTTCTACATGCGCTATTGTATCGTACATTGTATACATTTGAGATGGACATGCCCATATATTGGGGTGCTTCGGACTTCGCCATCTGCCTGCAACAAGCTAGACATAGATCATCGTACTTGGTAAACCCATGCCCCCTGTACTGTGGTAGATTGGACTAGAACATAAAGGAACATATCTCAATCCTAGGATCATGCATAAGTTGCAATGACAGGTAGGCATGCAATGATAATCGACAGAAGAGAATGTCCATCTATAAGGCGGTTGCAGAAGACTGGTGGTGAAAATAGTAACGATCTGGCTTTTCATACCCATGCCTGTATAGTCATAGCGAAGATCTATAGATGGTAGTCAGTAAAGGCTAATGAAGAGACAGCCGATAAACTCTGACCGACCAGATTGACGTACGTAATAATCGACTCACAAATCAGACCCTGAAATATCGCTGATCAGGCTGGGACCGATCACTGAGTCCTGCGTCTCAGTTTGCGCTTCGGGTTGGGTTTGACCCGGAGGCAAACATTGTCCAGACGCGAGTATGTTCATGCCGTCAAAGAGGTCGTCCTGAGGAGATTCATAGATATTATCAGTACCGTCTAGGCCATACGATTGCGGAGGATCGTCAGAGTAAAGAGCGTTGGAGACGAGGGAGTGTCGGTCCGCCACCTGTTTTTCGGCGCTCGACTGTCGATATTGCGCAACTGGTATGATGGACATCCCTTCGTTCTCCTCGATGAGTGGCTCGGGGCCTGTGTTGCTGGGGTTTTCCTTATCATCATGCTCATAGTTCAGTGGTGACGCTTCCATTGCTTCGCGCGCTAGCTGGTCTTCAAGTTTCTCTTGAAAGATTTCGAAGGCCTCGCCTGGAAGGACAGGCCAATAGTCTCGATCGTGGTTGAGGTATCTCTTTCCTGGAGGATAGTGCCAGACATCCATCCCTTCCCGGTGTCGAATGCCATGGCCAGTAGTATCAGCTATAAGCAGCAAGCGCGGGGGTGTGAGGGCGACAGTAGCTGTGTTCTGTCAGTAAGTCTTAATATCGAGGGGAAGCTGGCCACCTACAAGCGCTGGACTCAATGTTGTTGCCGTCCTCCACACTAGCGAATACGGGCGCACCACTGGAGTCTAAGTCCAACGCATCGGATGTGTCGTAGTCGGCGGGGCGCGATCGCCTCCCATGGACTGCTTTAAACCTCTTCGCTCCTTTGGGATTGGATGCTGAATCATGTCCGGAATTCGCACGCTTACGAGAGAGCTTCTTGTGTTTGTTGCTCGAGATCGGTCTGTCGTCATCATCGCTGGATATGACGAGATACTTGTCCTGAGGGTGTATACCCATATCATACGATGCCTTGATACCCGAGACATTGCGCGTAGACCGTCTCGTACCCTCGGTAGGTACTGGTCGCGACTTGGTCTGCTTGCGCGCCTTGCTCTTCGTCTTTCGCTTCGGTATCTCCTCCTCATCTTCTCCCTCGCTTTGTGCACCGTCCGACTCGGTCTCATCAGCGTCAGTATCGAGGATGCTAGAAGCCTCACTTGAATCGCCAGACTCAGGGACTAGCTTTTCTCCGTGTGCCGAGCGACGTTTGGCAGCCTGAGAGGGTCGAACGGCATCGTCCATGGGGTGGTACTTCACGTCGTATACGAGCTTACTCTGTGTTCGGCTGCGCAAGCTATAAGACGAGGTAGGTACAGCGGAAGCGGGTGGTGTCATCGGTGACTTGTTGGATTCGACGACATTCTCAGCGCCAGCACTGGGCGCAGGACCGGTGCTACTCTCCCTGTTTCCAGAAGGTAGCGTGATTTGCTGCATACATTAATTAAAGTACACCATAGAATGGGGGAAGGACTTACCGGCGTCTTCACAGGATCGGGAACACCTTGACCGCTCTCCTCTGGGTGGAGAAAGACAGTACTGCCACTGCTGATTGTTTCGCTGGAATGACTGGAGCCGCGTCGTTCGGAAGCTTCTTCGGACGCAATCGGGGGTTTCCTGGCATCATCGAGCGATTCACTTGCGTGACGCGATCCATTAGCGGTTTCTTCTCGGGTGATGCTTGCATCTGCTTGGACAAGCAACTGTGTCGCGTTAGTGTAGCCTACGCGGGAAGTGAATGATTCACTCACAACGTTATTTTCTTGTGTAGTCTCACCCGTCACTTGAGGGTCATCTTCTATGAATGAGGAGAAATTGATTGAGTCAGCTGTACTCGCTTGCGACGAAGCCATTTGGGTAGTTGAGGGTAGTGATCGTAGAGGAGGTTAGCGAAGCTCATGCAAGTGGAGATTGGGGGAGAAACTGAGAGATGATAACGCGTGGGGAGTGAATATGCATCGCAAGGCAGGTGCGCTGAACGCGTCGGACACGCGCTCCAGCGTTCCTTCCCTGTTTTGCACTCTTGTGGTTCTGAGGAAGGAGCGAGTGAATACATCGCCCCGGGGAGATGCCGGGATTCACTGAGCACAACTTCGAAGGACTTATCATAGAACAATGACTATGCTTGAAGCCGGTATGACGTGGAGCAATCGGTCACATCAGTCGGACAACAATAACTATGGTAATGCACTATGAACAAATCAACAGTCTCCCAACGAACGTAAATTGTCTTCGCGACAGAATGCATGAATAATTTGGAGATAGATTGAATACGCTGGAAGATAGCAACGATGCTTCGCTGTAAGACGCCGGCACCCAAGAGATGTTTAGTGATGCATGTGGATATAAGCCCTCGCCCTCCATTTCGTCCCCGACATGATGCATGGAAAACACGCATGCACCCGCAATGCATTCGAAACGCCGTGATGAGAGCAATGACTGAGATGGAAATCGCTTGAACGCATGGAAATAAATGACAAGTGGATGGAACCAGGAAGATCAGCCTCGACGATTTAGTCGCGAGGTTAGCCGTACAGGCGGCAGCACGAAGTCGTCATCGTCGTCATCGTCATCAACCTCAATGTCGACGATCTTCAGTGGTTGTGGGGTAGTCACAGGCTGTGTTGCCAATGTGGTCTTGGGTTGAGTATCGAGTTCGGGTGATGGTGGTACTGATTGCGAAGTGTCTTTCCGGTATGTCATCTCGGGCTCTAGGGAAGACACGGATGTGTCGGAGGTCTCGTGCGCCTGTAATTCAGGTGGATGTTGTGCCTTGCGTGCGTTGCATTTCTCCACCTCGATCTTTGCCGTCTCCAACACAGTCTCAAAGCTCTTTCGTACTCCTTCCAGCTCTGTTCTGCAGTCGCCGTCACGTAATGTGAGATGCGCCGACTTCTCGCACAGCTCTTGGGCTTGCTCTAACGTTTTGTCCGAGGTATCGAACAGCACGACAGGTGTCTCTACACCACTGGTGACGCCTAGTCTACCGCTTCTCCTCGCTGCCGATCTTGCGCGTAATGATGACATGCGGGCTCGGTAGTTGATTTTGGATAGGTCGATCTCTTCGTCGTCGTCGTCCATGTCGTCCTCCTCTGCGCTCGACTCTGCCTGGGTGGCCATCTCATTCATTCTAGCCTCCATCTTGGCCTTACGTAACATGTTGCGTCCAGTCCCTATTGCCCGCACGAGCAGTTCGAACGACTTCTGCATGTCTCCATCGTAGTTGACAACCACCATGGTTCGAGGGCGATGGCGGGCAGTGCCAGGTTCGTGGCCGGACGAGACGGAATGTGACTTTCGTTTGCGACTTGTGACGGCGTCTGGAGGTGTTGCGTTCGAAGGCGCTGCGTCCTCTGCGATGGCGTCTAGTGCTGGTCGTATGGACGCGGTGGAGTCGGTCCGCTTCCCGAACGGCGACTGTGATACGGGCACTTTCGTATTATCGGCCTGCATGGCCGTGACCTTCTCTTGGATGCTGGCAATGTCCTGCAGCCATTGCGGCAGGTTGTCCTGGAGGAACACGAACGACTTCTCAATGTCGGACATGGTGGGCGAGGATTGATCGGGGATTCGGGGTTAAGCGGCACGAGTGGTGGTGGCAGGGTCGGATGCAGACGGGTTATTGCATAGAGCAACGACGGCGACGGTGACGGCGACGAAGTTGACGTGAGTGTCGACCAGCGAGCAGTGAGGCGGTGGATGTGGATTAGGGGAGCAGAAAGGGCGTGGTCGGGGTACGTGTGCAGCGTTGGGCGGAGAAATAGTGGCAGACGATCAGCGATTACTTATGGGGAGAGACGGCTGACGGGCAGGGAGTGCGTCTGGTACGAGATGCGATCAACGGGGCCAGACTCACAGACCCAACGGAGTCGTGTCTACCGGCATGCGAGTGGGACGATGGTGGTACAAGGCCACGGTGCATTGCATCAAGAAGAAAGAGGGGGCAGCCAGAAAGCAACGAGACGGCCTTGCATGGGCGCGGGTGCAAGGTGCAGGGAGGATACTCCGCTTGCAAGAGGTATGGGGTACCGCAGCAACGGTTCGTCGACCCTTGGCGGTGATCGAACAGGGCGCTCGGCCTTATTGCAGACGAGTCGCCAGATTACAAGATTCAATTGCCTCACTCCTTGCGCGCCCGCGTGTGTCGTCGTTGCGCGGCCACATGGCCGACGCCGTACAAGATCGATCCCACTGTCACCATGTTTCGCATGGCTTCACGATAACGCACCTACACACTTCACCTGTCGCAATCCACTAGCCGGCAGTGGCACCGCTTGGTAGCCTGGCTCGCATGCACATGATCTCCTCCAGTTGCGATGACAGCGCGAAACTTCCGTCTCGGAGCACACCCGCCGCCCGTCCAACGGTGCCAGCTCACCCCCATCCATCGACCTTGGCGATAGCGCGCATATGAGTTCCGCCCGGCGGCTATTACCTCCAGTAAGCACGATCGCGGCGCGTCCTATACCCGTGCCGCAGCGCCTCAGCCGAAACGAAAACAGGGTGCCCTTTGGCTTCTTTGCAACTTTGCGAATTGCCTACCAAATGCGGTAGTCGCAACGAGCATCCCACATGTCCGTATCGTCGTCCGTACCCATCCGTTCTTCCCAAAGTGTCCACGCACATGACGCAGACACGTCCACGATCTTGGTCCTGTGTAAGATGATGACTTGCTGTGCACAGTCCAGTGACCGACCTGCTTGTGCTCGCGAACGATGCCCGGCTAGGAAGGCGGGTGCGCGCACCTGACCTGTTGAAATGCGTACCCAATACCGTTGGACTGCTAACCGTTGAAGCTTACCACACAAACAGCTGTGCGCCTGAACGTTAACGCACACATCATACTTAGATTGGCCGCCTAGGTTGATCCCAGGCAGTTGACAACTACGCACCGCATCGATTACTCCTTCAGGCGACCTGGCGACTGAAATAGCGCACCCTTGTCGTGCGGGTAAGGGGCCTGCTCAACACGCGTTTCGTTTCGCACGTCTGCTTTTTAATATCATCAGCCCGGGGACTTGCGATGAACAAACCTCTTGCCCAGGTTTCACCTCCCATATAGGAAGAAGAAAAACATCTTGCCTGTGTGTGTTGCCCTACGCAATCGAAAACAGCTCCTCTCACCAGGCAAATCTAAACCGCGCTCAACAAATTTGTCATCTGTAGGCGACTATTCAAATCAACAAGGGCCATGGTCGTGGTCGCCGACCTGAGCCACATTGTGGGGAAGACTGCATCGGAACCACCCATGTGCATCCAGCAAGGGTCCACGGTCTCTGTGACAAACGAGTTACACAGCACAACATACGCTCGGCCCGATCAAGGCACCGAATAATGCCTAGGAACTCGTGGTATTGTTTCGAACATTCGAAATACTAGATCTCTTTCGAAACCATATTCATGCGTGCCGTTCAACAGCGCCCTTACGGCCAGAGCTCCTCAGTCCTCCATCCAGCGTTGGCCTTTGCGCTCTCGTCGAATGTGTATCTAAATCTCCGTGCCTTTGCTGGATCGCTGAGATCCGTCTGCTCCACCGAGTCTGGCACAATCACCACAAGGCGGAAATTCTTGCGTGCCACGGGGTCTTGCAAATCGTCGACCTTTGAGCCAAGGGCAAGGTTCTTGTCGTCAAATGGTTTGGAGGTTGGCTGGCCGGGTGGAGGGTTCTTGAATGAGCCTGAGATAACTTGTTAGCGATTTGCAAGATACAATAGACAACGGCCATTGTTACCTTTGATGCCAGGACTCTGGTTACCAAAGAAACCAGTCAGCTCCCTTTGCCAGCTGAAGTCGCCTTCTTTGCCCTCATCGACGATCCTCATCCTCTTTCCCAGCTCGCTTTTGACAGTCCTTACACCACTGCTCTCGTCATCGCCCTCAATATCGGGTGCAATGATGAAAGCCCTTCCCTTGATCCGCCATTGTGTACCAGTATCAGCGTTCCAGTACACAGCCTCTACAGGGCCTCCACCACCACTGCCCTGCACCTGTTCGCTGCTCTCAGCGTGCCCCGCACTCGTCGCGAATATCTGTCCGACCTTCTCCATGCGAACATCCGTCGTAAACGTTGGGCAATCGCTCTGGTAGACTTGAGGATTGCGCTCTGCATCGTTGTGCTTGTTCTCTGGTAGCTCGGCCCAGAAACCGCGGTGGATGCAGTATCGCACGCGGGGCACGAAGGGTGTAGGCGAGCCCTTGGGCGCTGCATCGAGCGTGCCCAACACGAATTCAGGCGATTTCATCTTAGAGATGTGCTCGCTGAACAAGGACTTCCATGGCGCAGGCGGGAGGGCCGATGCTGAAGGTGCGGTGGTAGACATGGTGCATAGAAATCGCGAAAGGCGGCGGGATGCTGTGCGTGAAGCTATGATGGCTATTATGAGTATATAATACTGTGTTAGTCGTGATGATGGAAGTTAATTGAGCTCTGAAGCTACAGACTATTTGATGTGTCGGAGAATGATGTCGTCATCACCTAGATCGGTACCTGCGCAATCGTGCAGATTCAATGAGGTCAGTAGCTTGTGTCTAGTCTAGTGCAAGTACCTGTGCGGCTGTTCGACATGTATTTCGTAGAAAAGTGACTAAGAATGAGGGTATCTGCGGACACCGAAAGCACACTGTGTACGACAGAGCTGTACGCCAGCAAATCATGGCTTCCGTGGGGTTGCGGGGTATCCGAGTAAGACCGCGCCCGTCATAGGCGACAACGCGAGCCCAGAAGATGGGGAGTCCCAATTTCTCACCTTTGCAATAGAAACACATTAGCCCCAGTAATGAAAGCGCACCAACTGGATGTGTACTCGAGCTTAGCATACTTGTCTATAGGAAGGATTGCTATCGTGCACATGCT